TTAAAAATAAAATCTTTATTTTTTAAAAAAAAAAATTTTTTTTTTCAACGTTTATTTATTTTTGGGACAGAGAGAGACAGAGCATGAACGGGGGAGGGGCAGAGAGAGAGGGAGACACAGAATCGGAAACAGGCTCCAGGCTCTGAGCCATCAGCCCAGAGCCCGACGCGGGGCTCGAACCCACGGACCGCGAGATCGTGACCTGGCTGAAGTCGGACGCTTAACCGACTGCGCCACCCAGGCGCCCCAAAAATAAAATCTTTAAAAAAAATAAAAATAAAAAACTTTCCCGGCATTCACTGAACGTTGTTCAATATTCCACAAGGAAAGGACTCAAGAACTATATACCTTCTTCTGTAACTTAAAAACAAAGTGGCAAAAACATGTAAAAAGGGAATCAATGTATTCAACAGGTTTCTGGCAGCACAATCAGGATCTGACTCATACTTGCAGAACCCCTTTTATACTTGAACTAGAGTGTCTAAAGGCATTTTTCACACGCAGCCTTTTGTTTAATGCATACGTACAGGGGTGGAGATCCAGTGGTAACATTCCAGGACACTTAATCACAGAGACATGTTTGGACAAACAGCCTGACCACATGGATAATAGTTTCCATTTTCTTTTTAGTTTTTTGAGAGAGCACACATGCGCAAGGAAGGGGCAAAGGGGGAGAGAGGATCCCAAGCAGGCTCCACTGATCAGCACAGCGCCCAACATGGGGCTTGATCCCACGACCTCAATTATGACCTGAGCCAAAATCAAGAGTCAGACACTCAACTGACTGAGCACTGCCCCCACCCCTCCCGCAACACACCCTGATAGTTTCCATTTTCAAATATGATCAGCTATTGAAGCACTTGGTGACACTATGTTACGATGTTTTTAACATATCCAGTCTAAAAAAGAATCAATCATCAGTTTGGGGGCAGTTGTACGCTAACAGAGACAGCCTGGTTCAAACTGTGAGAACTAAAATGATTCTGAACTGCAATGTTTCCTACAAATAGCAGAAAAAAATATCAAATACTGTACTACAGTACCATGACTGAAAAAAATCAACAACAGGAAATAAGGTTTACTTTTTATGTTGCTAAAGTTACCAATTTATATATGCTTTGGCTGATTCACAAATTATTATTTAAAAGATGTGAATTCAAAACAAAGTTCTTGGTAATCTTTAAAAAAAATTTTTTTTTAATTGTATGGGCACATGCATGGTGATAATCTGGATGTTGTCATTACTAAATAAATATACAGGGCACTTAATAGTTTGTAACGCCCTTTAACATGTTATCATATTTAATTTAAAACTGTAAGGCAGGATATTTGTACATAAAGTTATAATTTAGCAAAATAGTAACTCTTTCAAATTACAGGGCTTTCAGTGAGAAATGTATTTAGGTTGCCCTAAATCCCCTGAGCCACATGAAAACTGAATTCATAAAAATAAACCTGTGTTTCTGTATGGGTGGATAAAAGGAAAGGAGTTTTTGGGGGATGAATTTAGAAATAAGGAGTGAAAAATAAAATTTAATTCTATATAAATTTTATGTATTTGAAATTTTAAAATTCAAGTTATGCTGATAGGTTTAAAATACATACCTTATTGCTTGGGGGAAAAAAAATACATACCTTCTTTCTGCTAACATTTCATAAAAGTCTCTGATATCTTGACCAGACTTTTCCATACAGTGATAAAATGCCAGCTGGCTTTCCCGATTTGCAAAATCCACCTTAAAAACAAAGAATAGCAGGTGTTTGATTCAAGTTTCAGATTTTTAAAATGGAAAGTGTTATTGGATTTGAAAATCCTTCCCAACACAACCCTCTAGATAAACTTCAAGTAAGAGCAATCTATCTCAACTAAGTTAAACAGTCCTAACCGGAACTGTATTTTGTTAACTCGAAATCTCTTTCAAATTCAATACAAATCTTGACAACGAGGTCTACTTTATTATTTTTTAATGTAAACTCTATGCCCACTGTAAGGCTTGAACTCATGACCCTGAAATTAAGAGTCTTATGTTCTACCACCTGATCCAGCCAGGTGCCCCAATAAAGAAGTATAATTAAAAGTTCTAGAACCCAGGGGCACCTAGGTGGCTCAGATGGTTAAGCATCAGACTCCTGATTTCAGTTCAGGTCATGATCTCACCGTGGGTTCGAGCCCCACACTGGGCTCTGATGCTGACAGTGCCTGCTTGGGATTCTCTCTTTCTCTCCCTCTCTCCCTCTTTACCCCTTCCTCACTCACACATTCTCTCTCTTCCTCTCTCAAAAATTAAATTGAAAAAAAAATTTTTTTTTTAAGTTCCAGAGTCTAATACTGAAGGAGTGGAAAAGGCAAAATGGAAAACTGAAACAATACCTATCAGGATGCTAGGTTGCCAAGTAATCAGATCAATGAAATCCAGCAATCTATACGTATATTTGCTGGAATCAGTTAGAAAATATAAAACATTTAAACTTCACTGACAGCTGGGCCTCAGAGTCATTATTAAAAGACTATGATACCTGTTATCTATTAATATCTTATTTCAATCGAACCACCATAGGTATTAAGTGCATACATTTCTTCAAGTTCTCCTGAACCAAAGTTTTTTAAACAAAAACACCAGACAAAAGATTGTATGTTCAGTGGTTACCCACTCTCTAGAAGAGGAGGAAAGAGGAAGAGAGGATCATTCCGGAAACTGGAATGACTGACACTTCAAGTTCCTGGGATGCATACACCCACAGGGGAATGCGGGCCAGCCTGCTCCAAGAGTCTACATGTAAGCATTGGGTACCTGGGATGTGGAGAGGCACATTTCCTTGAATGACACAATTTTTAGGGAAGGTTCTGTGGTTAATGACCCTGTGCCCTCAAGCAGCCAAATGTAAAAATAGTAACGTTCCCCTTAAGAACGGGACATACGGCACACTTGCTGTAAACCACGTCCCTTGCTGGCCGCCCACAAAACGCCAGTTATTAAGAGGGTGGGGTCTCAATGCGATTTGCTTTACTTCTGCTTAGTCATTCTGCACACCTTAATTTTATTCCCACCGATTTTCCTCCCCTTGGTCTCTTTTACAGCTGCTTGCGCATATTCAATTTCATTGTAGAGGACCAGGGCCATGCCTTTTAAGCGGTCAAACACCACCTGTAAAAGACAAAACAAAAACCAAATAAGAGCCTCATCCACTAGACTCATTGTCAGTCCCAAGAAAATCTTAGGTCACAAGGACACTGCCAAAAAAAACACAAAAAAAACAAAAACAAAACAAACAAACATTTTCTCTAATTCTAGAAAAAATGTCAGGGCTTTTCCCAGTGAAGATAATAAAACGTGTAGGGACTGTTTACAATTGCGGCTACTGTGCCTTGAGGTACATTATGCCTTTATTTTGTCTTTCTTTATTTTGCATGTTGACTAAGTTCTGTACTGTGTACTTAAGTAGGCATTCTTGTAGTTTGGGCTCAAAAAAAAAAAAAAAAAAAAAAATTAACACCCCTGAAAGAGAAAAAAATGTAGAACACTGAATCACCAATAAATTTCAGTGGATTTTGGTTAATCACCAATAAATTTCAGTGAATTTTGGTTAAAACAAGCATTATTAACTTAAAGCTACTGGATTTTTCCATTTATACTAGCAGTCTTTATGATGTGTATTTGTCCAAACAACAAAAGCTACATTTAAAGAAATGCTGAAATTATACACCACGCCCACCACAGTGTAACTCTGCTCTCAAGAAGGGAGTTCAAACTCTACTTTCACATAATGGAATGGGGCCCACAGACCCTTTTCCTGTTGTTTGTGGGTATGCTACCTTACAAACTTTGACTAGATGAACACTGTATGATCGTCCCTTTAAAGTCATCTTCTTTTTTAAAAAATAAAGTCTAATGACATATTTGTGTGATTGTAAATAATTAGATAATTAGACTAATTTTCATGTGAGATAAAATAATAAAAACCTCTAAAAAACCTTCTATTTAACAGTATCATGCAAATTAGTTTCAAAATTAATCATCATGGCTAGTTCAAAATAGTTTTTCAAAATACTTCCTCACATCATAAGCTAATATATGCAAAAGCCCTTCTACAACAAATTACTAGTAATTTTTAAAGAAAAGAAAACGTCAACATTAAGAACTGGGGCTGACAGGACAGAATTCCAAGAACAGGGAGTCAGAAGTAACCTGACATCAACACCAAAACCTCCCACCTACCTTTACCACAGGACCATATCGGCAGAAATGGCGTGTTAAATACTGATCCGACACATTTGAAGAAAGCCCGTCTAACCACACGCAGTTTGTAGGCATGCTCTTTCCAAAACCCAGCTGAATAGGAGAGGTGAAATTTCTATTAGTAAAGTCACCAATTATTCAACTACAGAATTCTGAAAAAATCTGTCTTCTGTAGGAATCTTATCAACCATCATCCCAAGGGAGAAACATCTGGTTAAAATCAAACAGAAATGTACACAAGAGTGATCCTGCCAGGCTAAGTACTAATTCAGCTTACAGTACAAGAGGATGAGGGTGCAGGGAATTATATCACCTTTACTGTTATCTAACTGTACTGCAATTTGAAATAATGAGACAGACACACACACAAACACTCCAAATCATAACGGTGTAATAACTTATGCAAAGTCCTTTACCTTGAGGCGATTATTTCCAAGGTACTCTCCATCCATCTTCTTAATAGCCTTACAAACGCTGGCAATATCACAGTACTGCAAGAACGCGTACTGAGGAACTCCATTTACTTTCTTAATATCAATATCCTGAAAAAGCCAATTAGTACCAATTAGTGACAGGCCAACAGGAAAATAAATCAGAATAAACTAAGCCCAAACAAAGTGCATATTTCTCAAAACAGTCATATTCCCCAAAATCATTTTCTTAGTTAAAACCATACATTGTAATACAACTGTAAATAGCCTGAAAGACTACACAACACAGCATTCGTAGTCACAACCATGAAATCCTTCCTCTGTGAAATTCTTTGCAGAAGAGAAAGTGCAAACTCAAAGTTTAAAATTCACAATACCTGTGTTAAGACAGATTTATGAAGAAAAAGGCTGTGCTTGATTCAGCAGCACATATACTAAAATTGGAACAGTACAGAGATTAATAAAGGCAGCCTATTTAATAAAAACCTAAGAAATACAGCTGACCCTTGAACAACAGGGGGCTGGGGGCAAGGGAGTTAGTTAGGGCACCCACCTCCAAGGCAGTTGAAAATCCACATATAACTTTTGACTCCCACCAAACTTAACCACTCATACCCTACTGCTGACCAGAAGCCTTGCTGATAACATGGTTAATTAACACATATTCTGTAAAAGTTATTATACTATATCCTTAAAGTAAGCTGGAAGAAAGAGAATGTTATTGAGAAAATCATAAGAAGAAAAGTCCACATACAAGCAGATCCATGCAGTTAAAACCCATGCTGTTCAAGGGTAAACTGTAATTCGCTTCTGCAATAATCTAAAAACCTTTATTAGTGGCTGGCTGGCCATTTAAAATACAATATCTGAGAAGAATAAGAATGAGAAAGAAATCAAGTTTTCAAAAAAGTGATCCTAAATTTTTAAAATATGCAATCCTAAATTAGAAGACTCATTCAATGTATCAGTGTATCTAACTGAACCAAGCCTGGTGACTGATATATATAGTAATAATCTCTCATATCCAGAATGAATAAATATATAAATACCTGAACTACCTTGTGAAGATGTATCAGAACACCATCCCTTGATTAAAGAAACAGTCTATAAAAGGCAAAGCCCCATCTCTTTATTTTTTTTTTAAGTTTATTTATTAAGTAATCTCCACACCCAACGTGGGTCTCGAACTCAGGACCCTGAGGTCAAAAGTCATGTGCTCTTTCAACTGAGCCAGCCAGGCGCCCTTAACTCCAATTCTTTAGAAAGACTGAAACCTGTACTCATGCATGACACTCTGGTCCTGCCTACTTCACTACTTAGACAAGGTGGTGTAAAAAAGCTGGCTTACACATGAAAATGGTCCAGAGAAACCAGATACGTGGATTGCAAAACTTACACTTAAACAATAATGACCCATATGGTGATTATCTAAAGTATTCTGTAAATCACAATATTTAAGCCTTTTTAAGGGTCATAAGCCAATAATCAAAAGCTGAAACAGAGCAAAATGAATAATGCATTTGAAGAGCAGTTTGAGGAATCCTTAAAAAAAGCAGTAGTTTATACTTAAAATAGTTCTTTTTTTTTTTCTTTTAAATAGGCTTCACCCCCAGCGAGAAGCCCAATGCAGGGCTTGAGCTCACAACCCTGAGATCAAGACCTGAGCTGAGGTTCAGTGTCGGACACTCAATGGCATAAGCCACCCAGGCACCCCTATACTCAAAACAGTTCTAAGTAATGGTAAATAGGAGCTGAGTTTCACCAAAATGTAGAACGCAACAATCCAGAATAACTCCATGTAAGAGAAATGGTCTCCAAAGAATATTGGTGGGTAGGCTCACTACAAGGGTTCTTCTAGCTACAGCATAATCTATCAATAAGCAGCAGACCATTTCCCCTAAGTTTGTGTGTCATTAAAATAGTTACCCTCGTGAGCAATTGCAAACATGGAATAATGGTTTTCAAACAGAATAGGACATGGCCACTTATTAAGCATGGATCTTAAACACTAGAATCACTCCATTTGTAGCAACCCTGCTGATGAAAATGTATCTATGTACACAAATACAATTTCTTACACTCCTCCAAAATTCAAAGTAGCAGCCACATTCAAATAAAAGTATATCTGAAAGTTTTATCAACTCATAGACTCATAAATGCTAAGCAGAAAAATAAATAAAACTTTTCTGTCACAGAAAAGGCTGGAGCCCAGGTAGGTAAGTGAACTCATCTAAGTAGGCAGTACGGCTGGAATTAGGGTGTGTGATAAAAGAACTTAAAATAATTGAAATTCAAGAAAGGAAAATGAATGTTTTGCTGTTTCTCTAAATATATAGCTTGTTTTTTCTTACTTTGTACCAACCATTTCTATCTCTTGCTCCTAGTCCCTTTGAGGTTTAGGTCAACTACAAGCACAAATATTTTATTCACTAGATTGTAACATTTAAAAAAAGTAAGAATTTTTACTTTCAACCTTAGTGTATAAATAAGGATGAATAGACGGACAGACACATACACACCTGAAAGGTTAACAGTAACTGTTCTTACCCAGCACGTTTTTTTACTCTCTAAAGTCCAAATATACACAACAATTTTCTTGCTGTTACTAATACAAAGTCTAGGAAAGACAGAAGTAATTTCCCTATTTTTTTCAAACACAAAACAAAATAGTATATATATCCCAAGGGTACAAAGCTGTAACCAAACTATTTTCACTATAAAGTGACTCAAGTTTTGAGTCATGAGGAACAGAAAAACCCTTCGAATTCCTAAATTTAATGACTTGCAAAATATAAAAAGTGATTCTAATTAAAATTTCAAAACAGAACTGAGCTTCCAGCATGACATCCACATTCCAGTAAATCCCCAAGGTACTTCTGATGTGAATTGTGATAACACAAGACTCCTATACTAAGTTGCTGCTTCTTTCTTACAGACTTATTTTCCTTCCCACCCACAGGACTAGATATGGCTTTAAACAGTACTCGATGGACAAAGAAAATAAGAAAAATGGATAGAAAAATACATATATATAAATAAAACAAAGACAAATACCTATTATATAGTTTTATATACACACATAAAACAGTCCCCCAAGGAGTTTTGCCAGACCATCTTTTAGCAGGAGTTAAAAACACAGGGCAAATGAGAAAAGTATTTGTTACACCATCTAAATATCTTTCCAAATATAATCTTGTACTATGCTTTATGTTTTATGACAAAGATCTAAAACTTTTTACTGTAAAAAAAACAACATACCACAATTTCTCCGAAGCGCTGGAAGATGTTGCGAAGGTCATGATAAGTAGTGGTTTTTTCAAGGTTGCCAATAAAGAGGGTTCTTGTTGCTTTGGGGTGAAATTCATCTATCCTTTCATCCAAAGGACGAAATTCATTTTCACTTTCCGTTTCTGTTAAGTGGGATGGGGGCAGAGTAAAAAGAGAAGAGGGTTGTTTTTTTTTTTTTTTTTTTTTTTTTTCTTTTTCTTTTTTAGGTAATCTCTATACCCAATGTAGGGTTCAAACTCACAACACCAAGATCAAAAGTCACATGCCCTACAGACTAAGCCAGCCAGGCACCCCAAAACAGAAGAATGTTTTAATGTATATTTAGATATCACAGGAAAATCTACACTTAAGAAGCTAAATCTCTGAAATATTGGGTATGAATACTCATACAATCTGGAAAAGGTATATACAGCTTCAGAAATAGCTGCCTTTTGCTTAACTCCAAAGGCTAAAGAAACTTGTCAAAAAAACTTAGGGGTAAGTAACACTTTCTTTGATCTTCAAAACAGAAAAGTGGACTGAATTTCAGTCCGCTAAGTTCATTTGTTTTAAAAATAATCACTAACACAGAAATAGATTTTAAACCCCAGCAAAAACAGCAATTACTTAAGCCTAATCTTAGGTTCCAAAAATTCTGCAGCAGGCTCTCAATGGAAAGTATAAAACTACAATCTGAAACACACGTAAAACTCAACTGAAAACAGGCCAGCTTCATTACTTAATTTGCTTTTCAGCATTTTATAAAATATTTAGCATTTTGCATCTCTGTTAATTGACAGAGCCCAACCATCTAAATGTAGCGATTTTTGGATACAAGAAGAGTAATTGTATGCAAACTGACTGGAGCAGTACTTCTGAAACTGCTGCCACATGGGCCCCAATGACACACACAGGGAGACCACACGCCACTCCTAAGGTTTCTATTTCTTATGATTAAAGCCCTGGTTTAGTGTCTAGTTCAAGCACAACTTTTCTCTAAAGCTCCATTTTAAACACGGTCCAGCGCAGAATATTCAATGTTTTGTTGATAATAACTATACACAGCCTATTGTGTTCTCTTTTTTTAATGTAAAACAAAGCCACACAAAAAAGTTAACAATTAACTGACTGAAACAAACTGTTTAGAGACAGGCACTAAATATTACTGATGTCACCAACAACACTGATACTGAAAAGATTCAACTTCTGAGCTGCTCAACTTCTGAGCTGCTGAGTGAATTCAGACAGAACACACCTCACTCCTGATTCCAGTCTGACTGCTCTAATGGCAGCTCAGCTTAATCTTACTGGTGTCATCAAAGAATATGTACTTTCAGAGACTCAAGTGGACCCAGAAACTGCCAGGGTTCCTGTACCTGTCTCCATACTGTATTTTGATCATATCTCCCAGGGGAGATCTCATTTCAAGATCAACTAGGTCTTCTTGAAACTAATAGAGGGCACATATTTAGGAATATTGCATTTAAAAAGGGAGAAAAAATGAAAAAGAAAAGAAAAAATAATTCAGACACATCTTAAGGTTTATACTCCAAAAGGGAGAATCAGAAAGATAGAACATAATTTGCAACCATTAAAATCGTATGTACTGGCTTCATTTCCACCAAATAAATAGCTCAATAAAAATTTCAAAATCAGAAATTCAGTTTAACAAAGATTTTTAAAAAGTGTATTTTCCACATGTAATCTATTTAACCTTCATGACCAGTTCAGGTCTTAATGCCTGCATGTCAATGTAAAAAAACTTTTATCTTCGCAATTTCATGTTTAAGGGATTGTAATGATCTATCTGCATAGAACTAAGAAAGCACAATCTTAGAAGCCACCTGGGGTCTATATGCAAAGTTGGGCTTCTTGGATTTGGATCTTTCTAACAAGAGGTCCCTGACCTAAGGAAGCAATCAGCTCCATACATTTCAGTACAAAACATTTTATGACTTAACCATCCAACAACAATTCCAACCAAGTCTCTATACTCGCATTCAACTGCTTTCAAATATCCCATTCGACAAGTGTTTCATGCTGTCCCACCTGGAAAAAGTACGTTCAAGCTTTCCTACGCCTCAACCAACCAAACTTCTCAAAATCTTCACTAGCAGGTGTGGTTAAAGCCCAGGTGCTAACTGATTAGGTAAAATGCATTTTTTACAGTGAAAATGACAAGCCAGCCCCACGACTTGGGAGATCTGAGGGCCATCTATTGTTAAAGGCCCTGAATTAGATCCCCGCTACTTAATAATTATATGTGGCTCTAACAACTTCCTACAATACGTTATATGACATTTTAAATATTATTCCTTAGGTCAATTGTGACCTGTTCTGAATGTGTTAAAGAAGAACTCCTGAGTTGTACTTAGCTCAGTATTAACTTAAGAGAGTACATCTCAAACTTGGAAGAGGAGGGAACATGAGGGCATTACCTATAATCCCTTTGAATTCTTGTGTTTATCATAAAATTATGCACGTTTTACAATCTTCCCTCTAGCAACTCTGTGCCTATTTTTTTTTAATTCTTTGTTAAACATTTATTTATTATTGAGAGACAGACACAGAGTGTGAGTGGGGGAGGGGGAGAGAGAGGGGAAGACACAGAATCTGAAGTAGGCTCTGGGCTCCGAGCTGTTAGCACAGAGCCCGACACGGGGCTCGAACTCACGAACTGTGAGATCATGCCCTGAGCCTAACCAACTGAGCCACCCAGGTGCCCCCGTGCCTGTTTTAATACATACAAATAACATTTACACAATCTTACCAGGGAAATTCTATTTTTTCCCTCTTAACTGTCAAAACAATGAATATTGTAAGATAATAGGCTATGTTTGCCCTAAAATTCCATTCAAAGTTTTAGGTGTGTGTTTTTGTTTTGTTTTAAAATAAAGCTCTACAGCCAATATGGGACTTGAACGCACAACCCTGAGATCAAGAGTCACATATTCTACCAACTGAGCCAGCACCCCTCAAAGTCTTAGTCTTAAAGTTGGTCTCAGCTACATAATGTGACTGCCTAATTTAAACATTTCTCCACAAATTTACTTACAAGCTGCCTTAAACTGGAAGGTTCCCAAACTTGAATATGTGAATTCTGAACCATTAGGCTGGGACAAGGTGAAAGGTCTGCACTATAGGTGGTTCTGAAACAGGATAAACACTGACCCGAGCCATGCCTGAGAAGACTTCCTGCCTTACAACAGGTCTTACAGGTAGATTCAAACTAATAAAATGTCCCCTTGAAACTCTCAATGGGTCACACTCTTAAGATTTAGTCCTGCTTTTCTTTGTCACTAAGCTTTCAAGGTCATGGAAACTAGGACAACAGATCTAATTTGTGCTGGGCATAACAGAAATAAAAGCAGTCTAACTAGTCCCTCTGATCAATGTAGCAAGTCGTCTGTTTCTTAATTCAGGGTAACTCTGATGTCATTCTCCAAAGAACTATCTCCTTATCTCATTCAATTCAATCCTTTTGGGAAGACAGGACTCAACAAAGGGCCAAATTGTGCCTTTCAGCCTCTTAGAAGTCAGCATTTCTCCCTTAAAGAAACAGAACAATTTTCACCCTCCCTAACCAAAACAACATAATTTTATTAACTTGAAAAACAAATATAACCAGTCTTTAAAACAGAAGACATTGGAAGTATGTCAACAAATAAAGTTGGAATAGTGTCCCAATTCAGGGTAAGATGTGACCTTTTCATAAGGTGAAATATAAATCTTACTAAAAATTAGCCTCCTTGTCTCTTACCTGGCCCTATCCATGCTGTTACTTCAATCTGCATGCCAAAGAAAAGTTTTCCTTTTGATGCAGTCAATGCTTTTTCTTGGTCCTCTTGCTGCCGAAAGAATACCAAACCATACCTCTCTTCTGAAGTTCCATGGATCTGCACTGACGTCACCTTTCCAAATTTCTTAAATTCATGGAAAAGGCCATCTTTAAGGCTTGTATCTAAATCCCCACCCAAAAAAACAAGGTGCTTATTTTTCTAGTTCAGTTACAATTCAATTAAAACAAGCTACAAAATCTCTGGCTTGATTTTTGACCTAAGTTTTGTTAGCATATGAACCTTTTAAATAAAATAACTAAAATGGTATTCATAATTTTCCTCATTTAAAATGTTAATATTTTGAAATGGGTTTCCTATCATAGTTTTATATCCAAAATTATTTCAGATAACACAGGACTCCAGGCCAATATAATAAAATTAACTGAAAATAGCATTTCTATAATTCACATCAAATTTCCCCTAATATCAAAATACTTAATCCAGTAAGTATATTTACTAAAAACTAAACGTGTTTTCTTCATATAACACTCACGACACAATCTTTGTATATGTATATACAATGGGCACAATAACGTATATATGTACATATATATGTGATATAGTAAATACAAATAACATGCAAGCTTCATACATGTAACAACCTAGAAACTACATACAGTTATGATAATCCCTTGCTTTTCTTTACGTGGCATTTAAATAGTAATGAACCACAAAAAAGAAAGCCTGCTGTCACTACAAGACAGAATTTAAGTTGCCCAGCCTCATATTCCCCAACAGTAGCAGAGAGGAAAGTACAGTAACCCAAAACTTTACCTGTAGAGCGTACTGGGAGATTCTGAACCTTGATTCCAAAACTTTTACGCGGCTCATCTTTCTCCAGGGATGAAAGCAACTGGGAAGTGGGTGCTGGGACTGCTGCAGATTGAACTGATCGGGCTGGAGAGTCATCACTTGAACTACTGCTGGAGTCAGTGCTGCAGAAGGGCAAAAAAAAAGACAAACAGAAAATGAATACATATAAAATTTCTGAAAAATCAACAAGTGGCAATAATTACAAGCAACAATCTACATTTTAGGTCTGGGATTTCTGGACACCCTCCCCTCTCTCCACACTCTATTTCACACCCCCCCTTGGAAGGCAGAACAAACACTGGCCTGAGACTGTGGAAGCAAAAGTAACAATCTTCTACCACCACAGTCCCCCAAAAGACAAATGTTGTATTCTGTGCAAAATGTGAACAACGTTTTCCAAATGAAGTTAAGCCTGTAAATGCAGTTCACTTAAAGGTGGTAATAAAAGAACAGTGAATTGGGATGCCTGGGTGACTCAGTCCACCTAGTGGTTGAGGGTCTGACTCTTGGACAGGGGCTCAGGTCATGATCCCAGGGTTGTGGGATGAAGCCCTGCGTTGGGCTCCATGTGGAGCCTGCTTGAGATTCTCTCTCTCGCCCTCTTTCCCTTTACCCCTCTCCCCCCGATAGTGCTCTCTCCAAAAGGGAGGAAGGGAGAAGGAAGAAAGAAAAAAATTCTTTTTTTTTCTTTTTTAAAACCATGGTGAATATATGGGTTTTGGATTCAGAGACTGCAATTCAAATCCTGACTTAGATGTAGAGCACATATCCTTGGACAAGTAACTTCACCTCTTGCTAAGCCTTAGTTTCCACATCTGCAAAATGGAAATAATAGAAGTACCTATCTTGCAGGGTTATGAAGTAAAATAACCTACAGATTTACTGAGTTTCTACTCTGACAGCAATCAACAAGCAAAGTGGCACTGCTGTTACTACCGTCGTCACTACTACCGCTGCTGCTACTGCCACCACCGCCATCTCAGGGACATCTTAATTTTGAAGAAAACAAAAACATCCAAAATAATTTCCTAGGTTTTTAATTTTTAAATATTTGAGGGACTAATGAAATACTACGTAAATTACTTGAGTCTTGTTGGTTTAAGCTCTTTTCTCTGTAAGAAATGTGAGAAATGAGTCAATGAAACTGAATTTATTACTCTTCAGTTTGATACAATCCTCAAAGGGGGAGACAGTTGAAAGACAAGGAGAAAACATTACCACATTCAGATTAAGAGAGAGAGATACCGAAACAAATTTATGATGTCTGAGATCTGTATGAATAATAGGAAAGTCTCTTTTTAGCACCAGACGAGCAAAGACTGCCATGGTTTTGTTCTAACATCTCAAATATATTAATAAAAAAGCTATTTACAGGGTCTGCTATTTAAAGGTTTCTGAAATTTTGCTTCACACTCTTCCCCTCCCTACTGTGGAAGCCTTATCTTTTAAGCAAATAACTCTGGTGGGAGGGGGGTGGTTAATCCACCTCGAACACACTAGAGGGAAGACCTGATAGTTTTTGTCATTTGGGCTAAAACTGCAGCTCTCACAGCCAATACAATCTGTAAACCAGCCAGATAAGTAAATCCAACCAAGGAACTAAGGCAAATTTGCCTTTGCTTTTTTAAAAATTAAGAAATGCTGTAAGAAAACAGAGTACTATTAACTAAGAACATACACAACATTTTTACTTAGCTCTCACGTGCTAAGGCAAAAATGAAAGCTTGATAAGGTTATCAGAGCACCCGTAAGTTTGAAACAGAAATAAACCAAAGCCAGTAAGATCCAAAAGGACATATCTGAGTTATAAAATATTAACTACTAGGGATAGAAGTCTCAAGACAGAACCGCAGATTGTCACAGCCAGGCCTCCTATACATGACTAGGCTTCAGTTTTCCCTATAAAAATAATTTCTTTCCTAGATCATTCAGTAAAAGCAGGGCTACTAGCACCAAGTGATGTTCATTCAAATTAAGGGTTAATAAAAGTAATCTTCTATTTTTAGCACAGAAGGGAAAAAATGCTTGTTTTATGTATTAAGTACTCCAAGTAATACAAGATTACTGACTAGGCCACCATTTGATTACAGTATAGAATATGTTATGACTTATCAACTTAATTCCAATGAATCACAAAAAAAACCATTAAGGAAAATAATTACAATTCTACTGATATTATAAACACCAAAAATTCCTTAGCAACAGTGGGTAAACAAATATGGGTAAGAGTAGAATTTCTGCCATTGAAACAATCATGAGGCAACAAAAACCAAGTTCTAGATAAGTCTGTGTTATAAAAATGGAAAACAAGGTGACCAATGGGAACAATGACTTTAAAGTACAAAATAATGATAGAAATTAGATTTGTCATAAATGCCATCGCAATTTTGGTGAATTCCCTGCTACCACACTAATTTTGAAACAAGATGTAGAATTTAACTGGCAGAATTATCTGCTGACCAATTTGAAGTGGTAACTACAAAAGGGAAAGGTTTTTAAAGCTTTACAAAACCTTACAAAATGATAAAATGATTCAACTTTTGAGTTCACATTTCAATATGCTAACCTAATCTGCCATGTGCATTTCCAGTGTGGTCTGTTAAATGTACGATGGATTTTAAGATCATGAATCAAAATGGGGGCACAAATTTAGACCCTCAAATATTTTTCAGTTCTACTAAATTGACAGAAGGCCCAAATGCCCAGAAGCCTGTGTCATTTTTAAAAATTTTTTTTTAATGTTTTATTTTATTTTTGAGAGAGAGAGAGAGAGAGACAGAGCATGAGAGGGGGCGAGACAGAGACAGAGAGGGAGACACAGAATCTGAAGCAGGCTCCAGGCTCCGAGCTGTCAGCACAGAGCCTGATGTGGGGCCCAACATGGGGCCTGAACTCGGGAATGGTGAGATCATGACCTGAGCCAAAGTCAGATGCTCAACCGAGCCACCCAGATGCCCCAAAGCTGTGTTGTTTTTAATTTTTAGAAAATTCTTATTTTCATAATTTTGCTAAAACTAAAGAATCACCAGGGCCCTGGGGGGCTCAGTCGGTTAAGCATCTGACTTCAGCTCAGGTCATGTCTCAGAGTTTGTGGGTTTGAGGCCCATGTTGGGCTCTGCACTGACAGCAAGGTGCCTGCTTCGGATTCTCTGTCTTCCTCTCTCTCGGCCTCTCCCCCACTCACACTCTCTCAAAAATAAATAAATAAATAAACATTAAAAAAACAAAAAACAAAACTGAAGAATCACAACGTTCACCAAAGCTTTCTTGAAAGCCAAAAGTAGTTAGTCAGAATCTATTCCAATCTAAATGGTCTTAAAGTAGTAGTGATATTATCAGCTAAGTTTTAAGAAAGTGAATTTTAAATTCATAAAGCCACATCAATATTACATTTTCAACATGAATATTACATTTTCAACATCAATATTAAATTTTTTAATGTTTATTTATTTTTGACAGACTGTGAGCAAGGAAGGGGCAGAGAGAGGAGTGGGGGACAGAGGGTCCAAAGCAGGCTCCATGCTGACAGTAGTGAGCCTGATGTGGAGCTCAAAGTCACAAATTGTGGATCATGAAGTTGGATGCTCAACAGCTGAGCCACCGAGGTGCCCTCAACATTAATATTACAATTCAACATCTAAATGGTAGAACTGGGGAAAAAAAATAACCCACAGTTTAAAAGAAATCTAGTTACACTGTTCTTAAACACCTAAGACAAGTAGGCTAAATTACTTCTTACATGTGCGCAGAATTTTTCACTAAGATTACTAAGAAAACTAAGAAGTAGATCTAAAAATTTCCACAATGAAGAAATACAACAAACAACTAGTTACTTGACAATTCTTTTTTTTAATGGTAAGTATCTTTATAGGAACCATGTTTTACCAATAAAAGGGAAAATAAAATGCAAAAATTACAAAAGGCAATTTATCAGGAAACAGATAAAAAGAAATGAACATAAAGGTGTACTAAAGGGCACCTGAGCTGGCAATGCAGTTGTACGAGCAATGATTAGGAGTACATGAAAGCAGGTGGCCTACCAACACAACTATATGGAAGATACTGGTTAGTGCCCAGGTAAGAACCTGTGACAGGGTGCCCTATCCTTTGCATGGAGGCCACCGCTTGAGGAGAAGCCCACCTTCCTGAGCCCTGCTGGAACCCTGCTGCCTCCCTCCAACTGCCTCACCCAGCTGGACCAGCTCTGCTCCAGTGCAGGTATCCACATCAGTGAACCATTCCCCTGTGTGGGGAGTGGCACCTACAGCTCTAGAATCCCCATCTCACAGGTCTCTCCTTGCTGTGTCTACAGGGCCTAGGCTTCCAGGGAAGTGGATAAGGCCCTCTGGCTGAGGCAGTAGCTCAGGAACCTCGATATAACATTAAGAGAACAGAATCTGGAATGCCAGGATTCATTAACCCCAAATTACAGTGTCCAATAATCAACTATCCCTATTCCTACAGCCATTTTATACACAGAAATACAGTGAACACTTGACTCTTAACACTGAAAATGTCAAGGCACTGGCTATACTATTTATAAAATGACTCAGGGCTAAATTTGCTCATACACAAGAGTAGCATCTAATGACAGACATCAACATCTGTATCGCTGTATTTGTAAACACTTGATTATTATAAATATTTACTTATGTTGGTTTTGTTTTTTTTAATTTGGGGGAGGGAGAGAGAGAAAAAGAGAGAGAGAGAGAGAGAGAGAGAGAGAGAGAGAGAGAGAGAGAGAATGCAAACAGGGAAAAAGGGCAGAGGGACAGAATCTCATGCAGGCTCCACGCTCGAGGTGGGGCTCAACATCACGAGCTAAGCCGAAATCAAGGGTTGGACACTCTACCTACTAAGCCACCCAGGCACCCCTATGTTGGCTTTTTGAAAGCTCAAAGATTAAAAAACATTTAACCAAGTTAAGAAACAAAAATCTGGCATAAATGGAAAAAGGAGCAATTAAAGCAACTAGAAAACTCTGCAATTAAAACAGTTAAGAGGGTCTATTTGTTAAATGCAGATATAATCTCAAGTGCAATTTTCCAACCACCTCTCTTCTATCAGAAAGCTAATAATTTTCTCTCTACATAATATACAAGCTTGAATCAGTAAGGAAAAA